TTGTCTGTATTATATTTCCATACTGTGACAAAAGTGACAAGTCTTATTTTTTCATAGTAGAAAACAGTTTCACTTCTCTCAATAGGTACTATATCTGAAACTTTGCTACAGTTAAGACGCAATGCCTCTTCCCAGCATGCATCTACTTTATTTGTCCTAGTATGCTATATAGTAATATTCAAAAGGATGCTTTTCATTTCTAGCAATGTACTCAATGTAACATCATTTTAAAAATCTGTCATTTCATTCTTCCTTCCTAGTACTTCTCCTATCGCCTAAATGTAAGTTTACCTCTCTTGTCACTCACCAGAATATTTTTTCATCCTCTGTACTTGTTGTTAAATAATGATGTTAAATGATTTGTCATTGGTTTATTTCATTGGTAGGAGATTGCTTCTAAGGACAATATTTCCTCACTGATGTTTTCTTTTTCACAGATCAACTGTTAATGGGTCCTCTCAGCAGAGTAAACCTTGTACTGTGTATGCTACTAGTCTGTAACATCATTAGTCACGTCTCTCAGTCGGGCAAACCTTGTACACCACTATAAGTCTGTAACTGCATTCACACATGGCTCTTAACTCTTTTTCTAATGGTGGTAGCTACGCTGGATATCACAAGATGCTTCCCATCTTCATATTCCTGTGCTTTACTCGTCATTTCACTACTCCACAATGGTGACACCATTAACTGAATTATGCATTTATACTTGTATTTATGTTGTTAAAATTCCTCCAAGAGGAATTGAACACCGCTATAACGAATTGCTGTAAGCAAAAAGTAACCCTGCTCCTCCATGTCACATCATATTGTCTGTAAACTGATTCTATCACCTGTTGTGGGGAAAAATGTTTGAGAAACTGCACTACAATATTATGACATTAATTTGCTTTTTAAATTGTGATTTTAATTATAATCTATTTAATCACAGACAAAAGCATAATCCTTGAGGTCTATGACAAGACTAACATGAAATAAGTAAACATACAATATGAATAAAAATATCTACATATTTGTTTAATAATGGGTGAATTTAAATATTTGTCATTATTACTGGAAGTTATTTTTAAAAATAGATCTGTATTCATTTGAGGTATATGTACAAATGTCATACACTTTTTGAATGATTTTGATACATTTAACAAAAATATTTATGTTTTTGGTCACTGGGCTGTTAGCTTAAATTTTGTGTGTCACAGCAAAATTCTGTTTATGAAAAATAATTTCATAATTTCTGAAAATATAAAGCAGCACACAAGCATCAATGAATTGACCAGAAATATTTTTATCATAATTTCTCGTGGTTTGACTTGTAGGAAAGTCTTATAATTCATAGTCAGCAACTTGCTCTTCATAATTGCTGTTTATACATTTCGAGAAATTCACATTTTCAATGAATAATCTTGTATCATCTTACCGCATTTTGTAAGTTTTTTTTTTTTACATTTTCTAATAAAATATTCGTACTGGAAAAACTTGTCTTTGTGTATACGATACTGTTTTACAAATGATGTATGGTGCAAGTATAATTTGAAATGTTTTGTTAGGAAATTTACAGATATTACCGGTAGTGCATGTATATTATCATGTACAACTGGTGTTTACTTGCATCTGGGTTGATTTCATTAGGTCCACTGTTGAATTTGTCAAACGGAACTTATCATACGAGTGATTATCCGTTTTCAGTGTCAACTTCTTGATTTGACACTTTGTGTATATGTACCTTGGGCAGACCTCTCTCAGATTTGTTAATTAGTTATATCTTCAATTTTCTAAATTTCATGAATATTTTTGTCATTTCTGATCGCAAGTCTGATTGCTTTGTTATTATATTTACGTTGTATACCTTTCAGATTTGTTCATTCTCTGATATCTTCAGTTCTTTAATTGAAATGTGCATTGCTAACAGCAGAGCTATCTCAGCCGACAGGCTGCTTGTTTATACCTTATGATGGCCAAGTGGTGACTTTTTGTTTTCTCAAAAAAATAGCAGAAAACCTCTTCATAGGTAATCATAGTGGTGATACTGAAAAAACCCAGGTCCTAGTAATATACAAAGACCTGAATTAACAAACAAGTCAAGTTGTTATGAAGGTTTACTCAGATTTATGAATGCAGTTTCTTGAGCATGTACGAGACATAGTTTGGTTGCACTTGTGTTCTCTTGAGATTTTGGATCCGGGTCAATGAAAGTTTTCAGATTAAGGAAAATCACTTTATGACGAGTTGTACCCACATAGAGTACATATTAATTCAATTGTTTGCAGATGTTCCATGTATTTTAATACGAATATTTTATAATTAAATAACGGAGACTGAGACATTCATGTCTTGTTTGAATAGCAGCTGGTTTCCATGGAGACAACCAAGTTTTCAGGATTTCCCAATGGCAGCACTGTTTTACCTTGACACATTGTATGCTGTAAATGTTATGGGCCTCAATACTTTGGTTTATATGGGAACTTTGGTAAAACTTGCATCACTCTTTTCAATCATTGCAAGCAAAATCTCAGGTGTTCAAAAGTTCTTCTTAGTTGATTTACACTAAGCATTCCACCAGATGGAGTTGAATGTCGAAACTTCTTACTATTAACACCTTAAACTTTCAGCAGACGGTTTAAATAGTTCATGCCCACTATGGACTCCGGTCTGTCAAAATGACTATTTTGAACTGTAAGCATTAATCTGCAATTCAGCCAATGACAAATCTAGGTCAGGGGAATTAAGCCCCATGACCTCGTATAACATGTGACAGAGGTCAAGAGGTCAGCACCATCTTCCCTTATGTTTTCGCTGTATACAAGAACTTAAAGCCAATCACTACAACAAGTGGGGCGGTTGGAAGGAACCCGGAGTCTTTGGTGGGTATGAACTATGTGAATAGGTGGGTTGAAAACCTGCCTAAATTCACTATGTTCAATTAACCCACCATAGACTCTCGGTCAGTGACAATTTTGAGCTGTAGGCAGAGTCAGACACCAAGAGGTGACTGGTTTCCAAGCAAAACAGAAAATAAAAGTACTCGACCGATACAATTAGTTACGACTACAACCTATCTGAAACAGTTAACACTGTCTTTTACCTTACCAGTGTTGTCCCCATAGTAAAAGCATACAAACTGTACTGCTGATGGGGTGACTGGGTCGGCATTGCCAGAGGACACTAGACCCAAACCCAATTCTGGGGGTAACCAGCATTCCAAAAGAAGATGTCCAAGGAGAGAAACTTCTCTGCACAAATCTGTAGCCAAGACTGCTCTATCGCCTATGTGCAGGGATACCTGTGGCTGTTCAGGCTGGATCAACAATCAAAGTTTGACCTGCAATGACAGGAACCCACCCTAAAAAGACCATCCTCAATGGATTGCACGTTAATAATTGATAAAAACTTTTTGCATTCTCCAGAAGCCTGCCTTAAGTACGTGTATGAGAACCTTGTGCGTACTTTGCGTCTGTAGACCCTGTGCTGAGGATGCCAATCTGTCATAAACCTCAAACACTGTCGAAGTGATCCAATGGAAGTCTGGGAGGCTGGTCTGTTCTGCTAATCCTGGCCAAACACATAAACATGCACTTGTTGCCCTGCCTCGACTCCCAAGTACGTCTCTCAGCAGCTCGAAGCGGGCATAAAAGCAACTCTTCCTGATCCTCCGGGCCGACAATATTGGCCAAACCGAGGATGACGTGTGGCTGTGGATCATGCCCTGGGATTTGGTTCTTGGCGAGAAACCCCGATTTGTGTCTTTAGCACAGATTTTATGTCCATCAAGAAAAAACTGGGCCCTGAACTCAGAACATCTACCGAGAGCTAGTAGGAAGACTGTTTTCCATGTCATGGCCCACGCTCGAGTCAGCAGCAGTGACATGTACTTTGGAAGCTTGGCATTCCGGGGTGTGGTGAATAGATCCATCTTGGGACTGTCCCACAGCCGAAACAGTCTGGAGGCTACCCATTGGGGTACCCGACGCTCCGTGTTCTGGAAACAGAGTCGTCGTAAAAGAGCGACTGCTTGACTGTTCCACACCCCTTGAAGGTGGTGTGTGCTAGCTCCACATTGCATTCCAGGCACCAATGGAGAATTCGCTCTGCCAGAGCTGACAGCAATGGTGATCTGGCCCCCTTCCTTGTTGATGTGGGAGACCACTGCTCTGTGGTTTTGAAAGTGTATCATGCCAAGTATAATCCAATGCAGGGGCCATATTCCTTGGACTTGTTCGTCCATTAGATGAACTCCCCAAACGCAAGGGAGGCATCCGTTATCAGATTCATTGCCGCGGGGAGTGGGTCCAAGGGGACCCCCTGCCTAGGGTTGGCAATTGTAATCCACCAGGGCGAGGCATCCCTTGCTTGGTCCAAGAGAATACCTGGTGTTGCAACAAAGTGCTGCGAACTGACATCCCAATGATGCGCTTCAATTCTCCGAGACAGAGGGAACACTGACTAGACTTAGGCTAGACTGCTTATTGCTAGGCAATGAGCCTGCCATGGACGTGTCAAACTCCATGCTCAGAAACACCAACTGACGTGTTTGGTGTTGATGGGACCTTTTTTAGATTTACTAGAAAGCCCAATTGGTGCAGTAAATCCTGCTCGAACAACCACCCCTTGTCTAGGTACGGGTTGATGTGTATTGATAACTGATGCAGCAGCCCACCTGTTTCAACACTCTGGTGAACATGTATGGAGCTTTGTATAACACTAAGGGGAGCACCCTGAAGTTTATTTCAGTGTATGCTTAGACTGTTGGTCACAAAATCAATGCAGAGGTCTTGGACAGTAATAGCTATGTGTAAAATTCAAAGAGTCTTCTCACTGGCGTCAGACGTAGATTTGGACAGACTTGCACTAAACTATAAATCTCTGTTGCACACTTCGTCTGAACACAAGACTAATACAAGTATGCCTGAAATAAATGACATGCACAAAAGTTGACGAAATGGGTCGCAATTTTTTATTGACATCATACACCCTTTTGTTTTGCCTATATACCACAGGCATCCTCGAGGTAGAAATGGCTATAGTTGATAAGTTTTTGTACAACTTTGAACAAAATCAGTCTAGACTAAGAACTGTTGGACAGACAAACAGGACAAGAAAGCAATCAGATGGCAGATCTGACATTTTGTTCCAAGCACTGGATGAACCTTTATCTTTCAGTAGATATGATACTATTTTCAATGAGGTCATATAACCATATATTGTCATTAAATAATGATCAGATCTAGTGTGCAATGTCTCAAAACACTGAATGGCTCTAACTGCAAAAGTGCACAAGATATGATAGTTATGCATTTTTACTTAGGTCACATGACCATATATGGTCGTAAAATATGTTGATCATATCTAGTGTTCAATGTCTATCTTCAACAGTGTTACGGCTGAGCTGGTAACCACTACCCCCCCCCCCCTCCCCAGCATTACATGTATGTGCCAGGGTGTTAAAAAGGGCCTTGTAGAGAGGCAATCACTGGACAATAAGACATTTCAACTACCATGGCTTTTATTACCCTGTAAAACTCCAATACAGAACATGTTGGTCTGCAATTTGCATGAACCTACAACATATCTTAATTTCTCATCGGTAATTATGCTGACATTTTCATGAAACCCTTGCGACTTAATGATCTAATAATGTTTCGCAAACTTATAAAAATATTCACGAGGACAACAAATTAATTTTCATGGTTCTCTATGATGAATTAAGTTCCCATATACAAAAACGTTCTAGACAGAGGAGTAATACACTAATGCAGAATTAAAGCATGTTATTATATCCTTGACGTATATAAATATATACAGCTGTTCAAAACACTACTTTGGACTATTTACGAACAGTATCACCTATGCATACAATCAGATTTGTACATTTCTGTATTTATTTATTTCACCATTTCCTTAATGGTCTTGACGATAGCAGAAGAACTGATACCAAACATATCGAGCAGCTCGGTAGATTTTCCACTACGTGGTACAGCATTCACTGCTAGGCGACGTATGGTGATATTAGGAAACTCTGACATAGCGCCTGCAACAGCCTCACCTATGCCACCTTAATGATAAAAGAATAAAATTGATTACAGTTTTGTTATTCAGTAATTTAGGATAGAGCAATTATATCTTTTTAAGCATTCCATTTCATGACAACGCTGTCAGAAATAAGTATGATTTAGGCATGCATGAAAATCTGGCCGAATGGGATCGCACATTACTCATACAGTAGATATGGGTATTATCGTATACCATATCTTAACACTAAAACATTATTAAAATCTTATTGCATGGATTTTTCTGAAAGCACATGTTCATCTGGTAATGAAGTTGGCTAATCATTCCAGATGCATGAAAAAAAATCCTGTTGTCCAAAGAGATCCTTGAATGATCCAACCCAACAATGAGTTAATTTTACTGAGTCAACGAGACATGTTTGAATGAGTCATGGTGCATTCATGCATCAGTAGAAATGCATGTATATAATGCAAGTTACATAATAGTCAATTGAAAAATAACTATCATAGAGTCGTAACTATGCAAACAGATTTTACCTTCAGGATAATGATCTTCAACAGTGAGAATTTTACCACCAGTCTTGCGAGCATTTGTGGCAATAGTTTCTACATCCAATGGTTTAATGGTAAATGGATCGATGATTCGCACATTAATGCCATCAGCGGATAGCTTGTCGGCAGCAGCTATTGCTTCATATAATGTGACACCTGCACCAATAATAGTCACAGAATCTTTGTCACTTTGACGTACAACCTAGAATAACATTACAGACAGATGAAAAAACACTTGTCACGAATACATCTACTGTTCAATGTGATTGATCATGATGTTGAACGTCGCACCTCACGCACAGATTGTATTTGAATTATAAAAAGGAAATCATATTTTGATTCAATTACATAAACTTGTGTAAAAAATCTAATGGATAGTTTAAAGTATTATTGTGAATAGAAAGAAAGGAAATCTTTCACAAAATAACCCACATATAAACTTTTCTGTATTTTACCAAAAATTTTCACCAAGGTATAGTTGATATGGAAATGTGTACATTAGGTTCAAAATTAATGAAGAAATTCACAAAATGGTGCACTAACATCTTGGTGGGAAACTTTGCTTTCAAAAAGTTAAGTTTCTGTGAACAAATGTTGTGATTTACCTTTGCTTTACCAGGCTGGAAAACTTCATTGTTGTCATATAGCACAGCCGTAGGTGGACGGCTGCTACGAATAAAGCAGATTCCGGTGGTGTTGGCTGCTAACTCAACAGCTCTTTCAGTGGACACTGCATCACTGGGATAGAAAACAGTAGAGCCAGGAATGGCACGGAACATAGCTAAATCTTCCAATGCCATCTGGGAAGGTCCATCCTCACCTGAAATTAGAATGTCAACATTAATCCAGTAAAACAAATTTGACAACAAAGTATTAATACGGCACTTCAAGGAGCATCTTTTGTTTGATTTCTTCAGTATCATCATGAAAGGAAGTGCATGTTTCAGTTAAAAGTGGTAATTATTTAATCAACTGAAAGTCTATTGAAAGTGGACTACAAAGTCTTCGACCCACAGAGGTACCCTTGGTGATGTAACAAATTAGACAATGAGTTTGTTAGTGTATTATTTATATTTCCATACTGACAACGTGCATCAATCCCCAAAATTGGGTTACAACTGAATTTTAGAATAGAATTGTTGAAAACACAATTCAGAAAACAAACTGTATTTGTTGGTGCGCAGATAGCAGTGTAAAACCAAACTCACCTATAGAAACACCACAATGAGATCCACAGAAATTTGCGTTTGTTTGAGAAATTGCTCCCATACGAAGCAGATCATATGCACGACTGAAGAATGCAGCAAATGTACTAGCAAACGCAACAGTACGGTCACGACAAGCAGCACCAATGGCCACACCAACAAGATTTTGCTCAGCAATGAAACATTCAACGAAACGATCTGGATGGGCATTCTTGAATTTATCAGCAAATGTTGAGTTCTTTGTATCTCCATCCATCGCTACCACTCTAACATTGTCAGTTCCTATTTTAGCCAATGCAGTCCCATAAGCCAAACGAGTAGCTACCTGAAATTAAATAATTAAGAGTTGTTTTATCTATACCTAGTGATGAATAAGGACAAAAGTATGGTTGTTGCTATTGGCTATTGCTTTCACCTTAGTATCGCAATTGTATTTTCAAAATTTTTTTTTAATCTGTACATTAATGTAAGCAGCTATCATTTACGCAGTTATATAAGCCGCAATTTAGTTTTATTTAAAATTTGTTATTGTGACGGGTGTTGCACACAAGGTTTATTGAGAATACTAAATGAATACTTCAAAGTCTACTAGGCAGGTTGGATAATTAAAATACCAGGTGCCAATCAAAGTTGCCAGTACACACTAGACATGTCTGAATCAAAATACCAGATACCCATCTGTAAAGTTGACAAAATACCACATGCCCATTAATAAAGTTGCCAGTACTGAGGTTTTGTCCATTTTGTTGTAATCAAATTGAAAATGAATATCACATGCTTCTAATTTGCCCACAATATGCCAATCTTAGGCTAAAATTTATTCCACACTTATTTTTCTCCAGCAGCAGAATGGAAATTTATTTCGTTAATTC